AGCAAATAAAACGTTGATTAAAAACTTAGTCATGTGTTAAGCAGAGCAAGTCTCAAAAAATACTAAGATTCAGAATTATGCTGATTGCAGTGACATTAATTTAAAACTGAAAAATATAACCACAAACACAAACCCAAACTTAAAAACACACTTCTAAGTAGCTCCAGTATAAAAAATAAATAATAAAAGTAAGAAATATTTGGAATGAAACTCATAAAAATGCTGCATGTGAGATGAAGCTAAATGAACTTAGAATAAACTTAAATGCATATATTAAAAATGAATTTTAAAATGAATAAGCTAAGTATATGAGTTTAAAAAAAAAACCACGGCCAGGCATAGTGGCTCACACCGTAATCCCACCACTTTGGGAGGCTGAGGCAGGTGGATCACTGGAAGTCAGGACTTTAAGACCAGCCTGGCCAACATGGTGAAACCTCGTCTCTACTAAAAATACAAAAAATGAGCTAGACGTTGTGGGTCACATCTGTAATCAAGCTGCTTGGGAGGCTGAGGCAGGAGAATTGCTTAACCCAGGGGGCGGAGGTTGCAGTGAGCTGAGATTGTGCAATTGTACTCCAGCCTAGGTGACAGAGCAAACTCTGTCTCAAAACCAAAAAAAAAAAAAAAAAGAGATAAATCTCCCAAATGAAGAGATAAGAAATATGGCAGAAATTAAGGAAATAAAAAACAGACAACAGAGAGGATTAACGAAATGCAAAAATATTTTTTGAAAACTTTAAAAAGGTGAATTAATCTCTGGCAGAGTTAATTATGGAAAAGGCTACAAAATGGCCAAATGAATGATACATTCAAAAATGAGCAAATTATTTCATCAGAAAGGAAGACAAAAGTCCAAATGACTAATGAACAGAAGGGAATATTCTTAGTCCTATTGGCAACAAGAATTGCAAACTCCAATAATAGTGAAATGCCACTTCCCATCCATCAAAGTTGGCAAAAAAAAAAAAAAAAGGATCCAAAATTCGCAACTTGGCAAAGATGTATTAATATTATATCTGGAGTGCTCATATACCACAGGTATAGAGTGTAGAATGTAGAAATTGGAAAGCAGCTAGGCAACATTCAGTAAAGATGAAGATCTGCACGCCCTACAACCTAGCAGTTCCAGTCCTTGACATGGTACTAGAGAAGCTTTCACACTTGTGAACAAGACAAGGTGCACAAGAATGTCCATCATGGCATTGTTTATCAGGGCAACAAGTGAAAGAAAGTGAAGGTCATCACTAGGAGAGTGGTTAAAGTGTGGTAATTCAAGTAACAATATTTATATCAAGATGGTTAAAGATCAGAAACACTGAACTTTTGGGGAAGAAAGTTGCGGAAGAATATGTATGATCCATTCATATGAAGTTTGGAAACACAAAAAGTACTTAATGTTGTTTATCAATTTTCTTATATGTGGTATGCATTTCAAAACATCATGGAAATAATCTAATAAACAGAAAAGTAAGCATGGTGTCTGTCTGAGAGAAGAGAAAGGAAATGGACTTGGGTGGGCATATATAGGTATTAATTGTATCTGTCCTTTACAGAATATGCTTTAAAGCATATATATCTCTAAGAAATATACACATTCGTGTATTATTGTACTTTATGTTTGAGATATTTCATAATATTTTTAAGATAATGCTGTGCAAAATAGCTGTATGAAAGAATAGTGTAACTTTGTACTGTTATTTTTCTAGAGTAAGAGAATGGACTTTTTAGAACAAATAGAATCGGACTGTTATTGTTTACCTCTCAACACCCCTACCTCCAACTCCTTAACCCTCATCCCCCAAAACACCCACACAAGTATACCTTTTTAATGTAAGGAAACTGAAACCTTTAAGTGATAATAATGTATTTTTAAAAAACCTTATGGGAGCCACTGGCTTTCATTTGTAAGCCTTAGACATATGCAGGGGAAAAAGTAAATTTATTGACAATCTATAAGATGAGGAAAAAGACAAGGAAAATTTAGTGTAGCAAGAACCACAAGTATCAGAAGATATTGGCCTCAGTCTCCCCTGGTAAGGCTTAATGTTGTTTTTATTTTTCAAAATAGAAATAACTTTATTCTTTTTTCTCATTTAAAATAATGTACATTCTTTAAAAAAAAAAAAACTCAACTCTAAAAACTATCATTTCACCGTTCTGTAATAATCACCATAAATATTTTAATATATACATCTAATTCATATATATATAATGTTTACTCACAGAATCACATTCTACATTTTTGCTTTTAACTTGCTCTTTATGTTACAGCTTAGGAATAGTTCTCATGTTAAGAAAAAAATCTGTCATGTCTCTTTTAATGCCTCATAGTATGATAGTGTGTAGTCATGCCATGATATATTTTGACCAAACCACTTATATGCAACACTGCAGTGAACACAATGCATATAAATCTTTTAGTACTTCTCCATTTGTTTGCTTGAGATATGTTACTTGCTGGACCAAAGGAATGCATAAGAAATAGTAATGCTTTTGTTACTGTATCAGTAAGAGTTCTCCAGAAAGGCCAGCAGGCTAGAACTCCAGCAGAGGCTGATACTACAGTGTTGAGGCATCACACAAAAATGTCGTCTTTTTCAGAAAATCTTAGTTGTTGCTCTTAAGGCCTTCAGCTGCTTGTATGAGACCCACCCACATATCAAAGATAATCTCCTCTACTTAAAGTCAGCTGAACAACTGTAGATGTTCACCATTTCTACAAAATACTTCCCCAGCCACATTTAGATTAGTGTTTGATTAAATAACTGGATGCTGTAGCCTAGCCATGTTAACACACTAAAAAAGTGAATAAACCTCTGACAAAATTGATTATAGAAAACGGTACAAATGACAAAATAATATATTAGAAAAGGGGCAAACTATTTGATCAGGAAACTCACAGAAAAGAAAACTTCATATGTTTATCAAATATAAGGGAAAATTCTCAGTCCTATTGTAATGGAAATTGTAAATGCAAATAACAGTGAGAGCTTTTCCCATTCATCAAAATTGGCAAAAAGATAAAAAGATTCAACATAGCCACGCTTGGCAAAAATGTGTTGCATCTTTGTACCTATGTACTGTGATGTATGTAAAGCATAAGTATGTCACAGGACCTGTTGCCAGAAGGCCTTCCAGAAAGTCTGCCCAAGTTTCCATTCGGTCACCCATGCTGTGTATGTATGGGTGAACCATTTTCATTTTTGCTGATCTAATCAGTATTTTTTCTAATGAAGTGTTATGGTTGTGTTAATTTTCGGTTCTAAATTCAGAATTTGTCATGCAAATTAGCAGTCTCTAACATAGTAATTTTCACAACGATCTGCACCTTTTACTTTGTAGAAGAGCAGACAGGAGCAGAGAAAAGAGCTACTCTTTGCTCAGAACAGAAAATGCATTTACTCCTTTTAAAAGTAACAATGTTGGTCTTTGCATTACACCTGTCACTACCTCAAATCTTTCTTTCTGGCCTCAGGTACAGAGAGTGGATGTGAAAATTTAAAAAAGAAGTCTTCTTTTACCTATTTTTTTAACCATGTATTCTGAGTTTTTTCTGTTGATTTGTAGTTCTTTATATTTCTGATGTGAGTTATTGATTCAATACATGTTTTGCATACATCTTCTCTAAGTCTGTTGCTTTGCCTTTTTTACTTTCTTCATGGTACCCTTTAATGAAGATAATTCCTCAATTTTAATATAGTCCCTATTCACTGTTTTTCATAATTAGTTTCTCTTGGGGTCATATTGAAGTAATCACTGTCTATTGAAAGGTACTATGTTTCCTTAGTTTCATTTTATGTTTAAAAGCAGAAAAAGGAAATAATTAACATTAACCAAGCCTGGGTAACATAGAGAGACCCTGTGTCTACAAATGATTTTTAAAAATTAGCTGGGCATGGTAGCATACACCTGTGGTCCCCCTACTCAGGAGGCTGAGTGGGAGGATCACTGGGCCCCCAAAAGTAGAGACTGCAAGTGAGCCATAATCATGCCACTGTCCTCCAGCCTGGGTGACAAAGCGAGACCCTGTCTCAAAGAAAAGGAAGAAAAAAAAAAACCACTAACACACTATTTTCCAAGGACTCTGTATTGTAGGATATTTCGCAGTTTAGATGTATATCCACCAAACAGCCTTTTCTCCTGCTGGGAACAGAACCTCCCTCTATCTCTGTTGGGGCACCTTGTAAGAGCCTACCTGTTGTACAGTCTAACATTCTTTGCTGCGTAGGTGAGCTCTTGACCCAAACTGGGCTAATGAAATATTCCCCGCTTACAGTATTTTGTTCACATATGGCCTGGTCCAAGCAGACACACTCAGGGAGGTGACTTCAGAGCAGCTATGGTTTTAGTAAGACTTCAGCACAAGGAAATGAAGCCAATTCCAAAAGACAAGAAGAATTAAGAGGCAGAGCAAATCTTGAAAGTGTTGTCACTGGCTGCCCAAAATTTACTCCATCCTTGCCCTGCCTGAGGGTTTCATTATGTGGGCACTAAATTCTCAACTTTTACTGAGATCTTTTTTTACTTCATTAAAAGTCTTGATAGAAATATTCTTGAATATGTGGTCCTATGGTTATATAAATCTAGGACAACTCCTAATCTCACTCTTAGATATTTACAGTCTATGTTAGCATATTAAAAGCCATAAGAAACCACAGTGAAAGAAGGCTATTTATCTTCTTAATAGGCTAATGATCCCAAATATATTAACATGAATACTTATTTATGGTGCTTCTATTAATATAGAAGCTTGAGCAGCAAACTACTGACCTGGGGAATGCTGGATCATAGGCATAGAAGACCCGGCAAATGCAAGCTGATGAACAAAAGGCGCTTTAATCTCTGAGCTAGGTTTTGAAAAATGCTAAAATTTACTAATTTATGGGCAAATTATGTTATATTTTTATTTGGGAAAAGAGTGGTTTGGTAAGAAAAAATCAAAAGTTAAGTTTGGCAAATATGACCAATCTGTAAACTTTTTTTTTTTTCTTGAGCAGGTTAGCCAATATACCTTTGCTATGTGCAGTTATAGAGAAAAAAAGTCTGAACCACAAGAATTAATGCAGCTTGAAGGCTATACTGTGGATTATACTGATCCCCACCCAGGTAAATCTTAATTGAACCACCTTCCCTGCCATGCAATTCTTATAAATATCCTGTGTCTGTTCTACATTTTAAAAGCTTCTCGATGAATAGGATGCATATTTCACTTGTATACTTGGGCAAGACTCTGAGATTCAAATTATCTCTTTTGGATGGCTTTTATTTTTAACCATATTTCATCATATCCATTATTATTACAGCGCTTTTACACATTTCAATGTGTAAAAGTCACTGTAATGGAATAATTATGAGAATAGCAATGTTTTCAGAAACTTCTCTCAAAAGCAAAAGTTATAGCAGAAATAGGCAAAAAAGGCAAATGAATTATTATATTATACCTACTAATTTCCTCCCAACAATACATTCTTGTACTTCTTTCTTTCCCTTCATGTTAATACTGGAAAGAGTACTGGACAGCTGATAACTAAAAATAGTTAGTGAATAAATATTAATAACAATATCTAAGATCAAGAAATACAGACATTAATAAACATAATGATTGGTAAATAGAGATTTAAGAAATAGAAATCTATGACTATATTAACTAATTGTTCAATTAAAATGCAAAATATTATCTTCTCTGTGAAAGAATTTTATAAAAGATAAAATAACATGCAATACAATATACCATTTTTGTTTTAATCATTATATACTTTTCCTGCATATAGAATGGCAAATATGCTGACAGGTAAAACTTTTTCTGGCATGAGATATCAGATTGTGCTAAGCATTTCTGTGGAGTATGTTCATATGTCTTGTAAAATGCCTCTGTGTCATGGAGCGTTTGTTTCCCTAAGTTATTTTTTTTATTTCTGAGGTGATATGGGGAATTAAACCTTTTTGTTATTGTTTTTCTTCAAATCTTGGATTGTGGATTTGATCCTTTAAACTAAATATTGTTTAAAACTGAACTGCTAATATCAAATCCATTTTTTTCCCTAAGGTCAGTTAGTGAATGAGACTAAAATCTGCCAATCCTGTAAATTTTTAATGATGTCTTTCTTTCCTCCACAGGCCTTCAGGGTGGCCGTATGTTCTTTAATGCTGTGAAAGAAGGAGATACTGTAATATTTGCCAGTGATGATGAACAGGACAGAATATTATGGGTTCAAGCCATGTATAGGGCCACAGGTCAATCATATAAACCAGTTCCTGTAATTCAGACCCAGAAACTGAATCCTAAAGGAGGAACTCTCCATGCAGATGCTCAGCTTTGTAAGTTTTGTTAAAAAATAATTTGATTATCAATTAATAGCCTTAATAAGATATAAAATTGAGGCGAATTTGTTCGGCATTATAGTTTACATCATTAATTGATTCCTAATTAAATAAAAATAGTTCATATTAATAGTCATATAATCAGTTATCTGATTTTCCACATAAATCTGGAGTAAATGGTACATCTGCTTTCCAATATGGATTTGTCAAGCATTAGGGTATTTATAGAAATCTGAAGAGCAAATAAGAAAATTCTCCAAAACTTCTCAAAGGAAAATTTATTTTAGTTTATTATGATTTTGACTTAAGTCTCCTATAGGCATGAAAAAAGTATTGCAAAATCAAATTTGCTTTGATAGGATTTCAGAATACCAAAATGATTAACCATTACTTTCTAGAGTTGTTCTTAATAACCCAGAAGAATAATTTAGGGCTATTTTTTTTGTTGTAGATTAATAAAAATATTAAGTCATAAAGCCAACTTTTTTACCCTCATGCCTTAAAAACATATCACTTTTTGAATGCTAACTGAAGTCCTTAAGAGCTATATTTTTAATTTTAATTTACTGATGTTTAATAATTATAGAATTGTGGTCAAAACATTTTCAAACATAGCTTTGATAATTATTAAACCAAATGTTTTAACTTTACAAAGCTTATCCCATTTTACCTGTAATAAACATTTGTCCTTAACTTTAAGCTCAGTTTGTGGCTTTTGATTCTGAGATTCTTCTCCAAGGGAATAACATCTTGACATGCATTATTTTCTTCTTCTGCTTTTCATGCAACAAGCGACTTTTCTCTTTTCTTTTTAGATATCCTTTAGTATCATTTCTGGCCATCCTAAACAAAGACATTTAGTTCAAATAATTAAATGTGGACCAAGAGCTTTTCATTTCTTTATTTTAGAAAACACAGACCATACTACCATACTCACAGGTTATAATTAGATTGGGGCACATTTTTAATATGTAGTAAAAACTATTTAGGACTATTATATATTAATTTTTACATTTATTTAAAATTTCTTCTTTAAAATTAGTAGCATTGTCTTCCTAAAAGGTAAAATAAAATAAAAAGAGCACATTCTGACCTTTTCACTGTATTTAAAAATGTAACTCACTGCTTTCACCTTTCTCTCACCCCCAGGTAATACGCATAGAATATAAGAGTTTTTCTTTTTTTTCCTTTTTTAGGATTTTTTTTTTTTTTTTTTTAGATAGGG